GGGTCAGGGCCCCATACGCTCCTCCACGAAGCCCAGTCCCAGGGCAGGAGGATCCAGCCACGGAGCAGGTCGTTCCTGGAAGGTTCTCTGTCCACTGCTAGAACACGCGTCCAGGGAGCCAAGGACCAGCACCAGGGACACGGACCCGCTGCCCAGAGCACCAACAGCAGCCAGCCCAGGACAGACGGGGACCTCCGTGTGCTGGTCACAACTCTCTTTCTTACAGATCAAACATGCAAAGAAATAGAAATGATATACAGACATAAAGGAAGTTCCCTCCCTGTCTCCCGGGCCCTTCTCCAACCCACCACTGTGAGGGACTGATCCCCGTGTCCCCGGCCAAGGTACCGTCAGTCACCCTCCAGGAAACACACCCAAGGGAGCACAGTGCAGCCGCCCTCGGTGCCTGGGGCACTGGTTCCAGGACACCCAAGTCCTGGGACACTCCAGTCCTTGTGTGAAGGGGTGTCCCTGCATGTGGCCTGTGCCCCTGAAGGCCTCTCCAGGCAGCTTGCCATGCCTGACACAGGGAACGCTGCGTGGACAGCTGTGTTAGCTCTGGATTGACCAAAATACCAACAAGTCCAACCTGGACGAGGAGTGTGTTTGGGCTCACAGGTGCAGAGACTCAGTCCACGGGGACCAGCTCCGTTGCTCTGGGCATCATGGTGGGAGGGCGAGGGGTTGCTGTGCATGGTGGCCAGGGAGCAGAGGGGCTGGGGAAGGGGTGGCAGGGAAGACACGCCTCTCCAGGGCAGCCCCTGTGACCCACCTCCTCAGTGTGTCCCTTCCCCTGATTCTCTCGGGTTAGTGCCTCCTTAGATGGGTAGAGGAGGTCCACAAGTCAGAACTGGCTCCTGGACTTGCCTTGTGGATGTCTCCCCCAGTGTGTCCTCTGTGTGTGGGATTCGGCCAGCGTGTCCGTCTCTCCTGTGGCTTCTGGCTTTGCAGGGTGCATAGACACACCCTTCAACCTTCGGGGGCCCAGACAGGGGAGGAGCTGCAGGGGAGGTGCAGAGAGGCGCCTGCCCCTGCAGGACTGGAAAGTCCTCTCTGAAAGTCGCTGAACTTGCCTGGGACAGGAATGAGTGGGGCAGGTCGTCTGCAGACCAGGTGGCAGGAGCTCTAGGGGAGAGGCCAGGGAGCTCCGCCTGGCTGTGAACCAAGTTTGCATTTACGGGGCAGCACACCACCTGCCCAGAGCGAGGCTGCCACCCAGGGCTTCTCTCCTCTCCCCAGGCAGACCCGCTAGAGCCTTCTCTGGAGAAGACAGAGGCCCAGCGGCCTCCAGTGCGGCCTTGGATGGAGAAAGGCCAGTGCCTTCAGTGCCCTGGGTCTAGGAGGTGGAGACGCAGCGTCATGTCCGCCATCCTCGTCCTGTTGATGGCAGAGCCTGGCCACGTCCCCACACTCCTGTGACGCTCCTCAGTGTTTGCTGGGTGCGAGGAGGAGTCTCATCCAAGACCGAGGTGGTACGCAGTGGTGGGCGAGCCACAGTCAGGGTCAGGGGCTGCCGCCATCGGATGTGGGCTGAAGGGGGGAATCAAGGGTGACTACAGAACGTGGCCAAGCCTCTGCAAAGACCAATCCCCATCGCAGGGTGGTGGGGTCCCCGCGAGGCTCTGAGCTGGTCATCCGCCTCCACATGGAACTGTGCTGTGCGTGGTCAGTATCCTGACGCTGAGGGTCGCTTTTTCACATGCATTTGGGAGTCAGACTGCTCGGTTCCCATGAGGATCCGTTAGGGCTGATGTCCTGTCCACAGCAGCTGGTGTTTACATCCCGGATGTCGTTCCAAAGGAAGGAGCCCCCCGTTTACAGCTCCCCGCCGGCACCCCACCCCAGCAGCAGTGTCGGCCTCCTCCTGCCCCTGGCTGGCTCTTACTTCTGCCCGTTGTGTTTGGCTATGAGGCGTCCCCTGCACACTCAGGTGACGGTCAGTGTGGGAACTCGGGGTGAAGCATGATTCACAGGAGGACAGTACAGCATGGCAGTGGGCAGGGGCCTGCTGAGGAGGCAGGCCATGGGGGGTGGTGCCTGGTGACCCTGGCTCCTCACGCCCACTCTGCTTTCTGGCGACCACAGGCTGCGCAGCCGTCCGCCACCACGCCCCTGGCCGTGACGTTCTGCCTCAGCCCAGGCCCGAGCAGCCTGGCCAGCCGACCTGGCCTCTCCTCCTCCAGGCTGCCCTAGTCGGGAACTCGGTCCCAGAAACCAAAAGCTACCATGCTGCCAAGCACCTGTGGCCACCAGTTAGTCAGACCCGGGCAGCAAGGGCTACACAGGCCCAGAGGGCAGCAGCCAGGGCTCAGCCAGAGGGCTCCTCGGGAGCTGGGCCCCATCCACAGCCATCTGCACCCGTGGACGCCTCCTTGCCGTGGTCCCAGGCCCCAGCTCCTGTGCCAGGACACGGTCTCCCAGGAGGCCGAGCGAGGCTGCTGGGCGGCAGCAAACCCAGAGCAGCACGGGCTGCCACGGGAGGCCTGAATGGAGCCGGCACGAGGCCATCGTCCTGACTCGAGTCTCAACTGAGAGTGAGCAGGGCCAGGGGGCCGTGGCCCTGCCCGCTTGGGAGGCGAGAGGACGGTGAATGAGACGGTCCCTAAGGCAGCTGGAAGAGGACAGAGGGTCGGCCAGACAACCCTCGAGGACCCGATTCTCTGCCGTGCTGGGGGTGGCCCGCCAGCAGCAGTGGCTGCCCCGGACACCCGCTCCCTCTCTGCAGCAGAGCGGGGGGCCGGCAGCCTGGGGTCCCTGTGGCGTGGGAGCTGCTGGGCGAGGCTGTGCAGCGTCCCTGGGGCTGTGGCCTTAGCCGCCCTGTTCCCACCTTGGAGCACCTCCCTCTGGGTACCTTTATGGGCATGGGAAAGGGCACAGGGGAAGCACCAGTCACAAGGCCAGCCCTGTCTTCCTGCAGGAGTCCCTGCCAGGCCGGGACTCACTGGACCACAGCAGGACAGCACCAGGAGGAAGGTGCCAGCTCCTGTGCCCAGGGCACCAAGTCAAGGAGGAGACGCTACCAACAGGGCACAGAACAGTCAGGAGACCTTCCAGGAACGTGGCTGGAACCTGAGCTGGAAAAGCACCTGGCTTTATTTTTTGCTGTGAGACTGCGGGGCGCAGGGTCAGGTGGGGACTGCGGGGCGCAGGGTCAGGCGGGGGCTGCGGGGCACAGGGTCAGGCGGGGACCACGGGGTGCAGTGTCAGGTGGGGGCTGCGGGGCGCAGGGTCAGGCGGGGGCCGCGGGGCGCAGGGTCAGGCGGGGGCCGCGGGGCGCAG